AAAAAAAAATTAGAAACTCGTACCGCTCTTGCAAGCCTCTATGAATTGTTTAGCTTTTGTCAGACTGGGCAAGTCACCAGCCAAGAACTTGTCTGAGATCATCTCTATGCCGGCCACTGACATGTAACCTTCTTCATCCATCTGAAAGTTTAATTATTGTATGAGAAACCGTTGTTGTAGCAATAATGTATGTGTTCACGTACAAATCCTCAATTACATACACCTCATTGCAAATATACGAGTCTAACCTGAAAGACCTTTAAAAGCACCATGACATGATTTTTTTCGTACAAATTCAAAACATTTATTTCAGATAAAAATCCATATAGACAGTGACGTATACATTAGATAAGAACCATTCACACGGTGTTTGTCCTGCAAAAAAACGCACACAGGTCTATACGTTTATCAAATAAACAACGGACTTTTAAAGCAAATCGATTGAACTTAAACGTATTCGGTGTGCAGAAGCGCACAGTACCGTATTAATGCATCTCTTTCACACGGCGCGAAGTCATACGTTTTTTATCGAATTGTCACCGCACAAGCAGCAAAATGCCCGGCGAATCTTCTGTGGGCAACGATTTATTTATTGATATCTTTAGTTGGAACAAATGCCCGTTGTGTGGGACAAAACTATGGAAATGTATAAACCCAATGCATGTTCTTCTGGCGGCAATGCTAATTCTATTATTTTATGCCAATATAAAAGTGCAACAAAGCGTGGATCTGTCACATACGTGGTCTCAGGGCGATTGTTGTGTGAATACTGTGGCTATCCGTCTTTTAAACGCATGAAAATATATCGTGTGAACACCCCGCTATTTATCGGTTTATAATCGAATACGTGCAGGACAATGCCGTGTGAACCAAGCTTTAGTAAACAAAATAAGTTAGAATCTTGTATTAATATTAAGTTAGTATTAAATTTAAATATTATTTAATTTAAAGGGACAATGCAGCTATACAATTAAATGAGTCCCACCGATCTGTGAACACATACAGGATGCTTTTGGAGCCCCCGCGGAGGCGCCCCAGCGCAGATGCACGCCTTTCATACAATCATATAATATAATATGAATTCAACCAACGAACGGGCGCAGAAATGTGAGAACAATTCGTCGTTCCCTCGTTCATCTCAATTCTCCGGGAGAAGTTGTAGATCGATCCGAAAACCGAGAAATGCCGTTAGTATGTCGACATGAATTTCATTTTCCTTGAGAAAATATAGAAAGATAGAAATAAAGAAAGAAATCCGTTTACTAAAAAGTCATATACACGGAAGTTAAAAGCTTTATATCATGATTCTTGAAAAACAAGGCACATAGTACGCCATATCTAACTAAGAAATTGTAGTAACCAATAACGAGTGCTTCTCAATTGAGGTTTAGTACCAATATTTCTCGCTATATCAAAAGAAGACATCGTTCCTGACGATGTATATTGAACACAACACTAGGAAAACGTGTGAAGTTCCCATCCTCATTTAGGCTAAAGTGGTGAAATATATGATGATGCTGTAAAGATGGTGGATGTATACATTGCATCATGAAAGAAGTTTACACTCGAAACAAGTTAAGAGCTTGTAGCCTCTGCCTTTCCCATATGAGACAAGCATTAAAGCACGAAATCCTAGGAGCCTATAGGTGAGAACGACAAAATCAAAAAGTATGTAATTACGGTAAATTAGCCCATAATTACAGGGAATCATTGTGTGAGGCGCAGAGACCGTGTAATAGGCCTGTATCATTGTAATGACAGTGCTATAGTGGCCTTGTGAAAGCGTACCTTGTACAGGGAGCGAGGTAATACTAATTCACTATATATAAAAAAAATGCATACAAATTAATTAATTGATTATAGGAGGCTGCATTTTAGCGCTCTGCATTCATGATCTTTATCCTTCGTCATTATCAATGAAGGACTTCTTCATCAGTTTTACTGCTTTATTCTATTCAGCGCAAAATTTCCTTATACATTACTTAGACACGACGTTTTCACTTTAAACGACATGACATTAATAATATTGATATAAGTTTACCCTTGGTATAATAAAGCCACGTGTGATTACAGGTTAAAACAATTTTTATCACATAAAAATCTTTAAAAAATACGAACTAGGTGCGACAAAATATGTATTCAATTTTACCACTTTCCTGTTTTAAGTATAAAAAAGTTATCTCCTTATTTTGTTCGTAGAATCTTGAAACGTTGTCATTTCGTCGCCTTACTTTCTCAAACTCGTATCTTAAAGCAAAAAGTTACCGAAATGCAGAAAAATGGATTGTATATTTGTATATACTTATTCATATGTTGCAAGCTGATTTCACATCATATTTCCTTCCAATCTACACACTAGCTTTTACCTATTCTTAAAGTAATGCATCCAAATTAACACCCTTGATAAGAAATTTAAAATAAATGGAAAGTTTTGCCATCTCCTGAATAATCACTCTTTATAAGATACGAGTTTGAGAAAGTAAGGCGACGATTTGCAGATGTAGCCTTACTATACCAAGACGTGAATTAATGAAAATAATCACGCGGGTAGACCTGTAGAAGGTCACGTCATCCACAGTCACATCATTATTAAAATTAGTACTGCTTGTCTTATTTATACCGCGACCCGAGTCTTAGGGCCCATGCACACAGCGTATTTTATACGCGCCGACGACCCACGTTTCCGGGCGCCATAAACCCGCAGTTATCTGCTCGCACGTCGTCGTATCGCGCGTGTGTGTCGCGCATTTTGACAAGAAATAGTTTTAATTTTGAAATAAAGCAACTACATGAAATTCTAAGTGTAAACTCAAGTAGAATATATAAGCTTCTTACTTTCAACGCGATATTTGCGAGCGTTTGAATCGATTCATTTCAGTACTTCTGCGGTGCGTATAAGCGTAAATGACACGCTTTTACGGCACCGTAAACGCGCGTCGTTGGCGCGTATAAAATACGCCTTGTGTGTAGGCGTTAAGACTTGGATCGCGGTACAAATAAGACGAAGAAGCAGTACTAATTTAATAATGATGTGACTATAGATGTCCGCGTCATAATGGTTATAATATAGTGTCATATTATTAAATTTTTTCCATACAGTAGCGAACCGCCTTTGATGTTCGGCGGGGATACTTACGCTATCCTGTATAGATATGGTTGTCACGAAATGGAAAATAAATTGTGATTACTACTCGTATTATATCGTAATCATTTCTATATCAATAATAGATAAGTAATAATGAATTACACGTTTTGCTCTACCAAATATTTACGTTACACTTTATATTTAGATGTTTTCAGTTTTCATATAATAGGGAAATATGAACAGGGCCGTGATTTAAATTTACTTTACATGACAAGTCAAATAATTCATCTAAAACGTTACTTCCAACACAGGAACGGAAGTTCTGCCTAATATGAACTTCTAGCTCTTTACTGTATTCACCGAAATCCTGTTATATATCAATGTGTATGACTGCTGTAGTGTTGTGAAATATAAAATCATCAATTTTGGTATAGTTCCTAAAACAACAGTCCTGTGCCCCAAAATACCTCTTCAGTGGCACTTTGGGGCATGATATCGCATTCTCAATAATTAAGTGAAGAAATTAAAAAAATGGCTAAGAAACTGACAAAATAGTTTTTTTAAATAATATACGTGGCATTAGCTACATTTGCGATTTAGCTGGTGTCTACCAGAGGCGTTGTGGAGCTGGTGACAAAATTATCTTTGATTAAAAAAATAGTTGTAATAATTTTAGTAACTCACACACTCATAGCCGCGCACATAGATCAAGTAAAACTTACACTCAAACTCACAAGAGAATTAACGTAAGCCATACAAATATTTCTCCCGGCCCGGGAATCGAACCCGAGACCTCTGCGTGGTAGTGTAGTATGGTAACCGTTCGACCTCGGAGGCACTTTAGTTTTTTAAGAAAGTTACATTAGTTCTACATCGTCCTTTATTTTCTTTTTATTTTACTTTTCCATATTTCCAATTTATTATGAGTGTATTTACGTACATTTGGTCATTTATTATTTAATTAAGGTAATATACAGGTAAGGCCAAAAAGACAATAAAAGCTTAAATACTAGAAAGTAAAACTAGGATTTTTTAATTATATGAATAAAATTGGGTCCCTGCGGCAAAGTGCCCAAGATGCTGGCAGCGTTCCCCCTTTGTATTGCTATTTATTATTGAATGTGGTTCTAGGATATTATGTGATGGTTCCACTTATTCACGGAAAGTGAACCGAGTTCGGTTTCCGACACAGTACACGAAATATTTTTTTCTTAATTAACCCATTTCAATTTCTGTGTTCTGCTGAGTGTTCCTGAGAATAAATTTGACGCTCTGATTGACACAGTATATTGAAAACGTGGGAATTTCCGTACCAACATTGGTTCAGTGTGGCAGACTAAGGCCTAAATGCTTTCCTTAGAGTAGACCCATACCCAGCACTGGGACACAAAATGATGAACAGATCAAAATTTCTAGTAATGGGACGAACAAGCCGTGCGCCTGATGGTAAGCTACACGCCTGTCCATAACAGTTGCAGTGCCACTCAGAGCTTTAAATCGAAAAGATCTGAGGGGCACAGTCACTGTGCCCGTCACTGAGATTTAAGTTCCATGTGCCTGTAATTTCACCAGCACCCTTACCCTTTGAAACCGGAACACGGTAAAGCTAATATTACTGCTTGGTGCTAGAAATACGTAAGGTGGCAGTACTAGCCTGGACGAACTCTTTCACAAGGAGCGGTACTGCTACTAAAGAATTAAGTTAACAAACCATTCCAGCCTTCTTGTAAGCGCAAGCAAAAAGACATTTAGCATTTCCATCTTCAGGCATCCGCTTGCTCTTCAATTCATCCAACTCCCCAGAGGTGATCTGATGTTCTTTGGCACACTCCATAATTAGATTCACGTAGGATTGCCGTAAGTCTTCAATTGAGCCTTCCTAAAACCATTTATAATATTAGTGGCAAGCGAAATTGCACTTGCAGTGCTACTCAGAGGTCCATCGCAAAGATCTGAGTGGCACAGCCACTGCGCCCGTCACCCTAAGATATAAGGTCACAAATCCCATGTAAATGTTACTTCACCAGCACCCTTGTTAGCTATATGCAATAGGCCAGACGACGTCCTGATTTTGATTCAAATTGGAATCGTTCCGATCGGGTAGGCTCGAAATCAGATGGGTTTCTGAGCTTCTCGCTGAACCTAGCCGATGAACCTAATTCTTACTATATTTTTCTAATTTGTGAGTTAAATCAACTATTGTTCCGATTAGAATTGTCAAAAGTTTCCGATCGGCTTAAAACATATTAACATATTTTTTTAAGATTTTTTTGTCTTTGAATCGTAAACACATAAGATTGTTAACATTTTGTTGGTGTAAAAATTCTAAATTCCGTGAAAATAAAACTGTTTTTTTTTCCGATTTAAATCGCTTGTATTTGTTTTTAAATAAATCAAAGTTTTGTGTTCTTTACAAGTCAGTATGTCACAGTAAGCCGTTATCATAGGATCTGTAAAAAGACCGAATAGTTAGTTTGTTTAAAAAAAACAAAAGTGCGTTTTTAAATCCGAAAAAAATTTGATCCGAAAGAAGAAATTGTTTTATTTCCAATGTGTAATAATACCAAAAACCTACGAATTGTAATTTTTTAATTTATTGAATGTCACAATGTTTGACCATGATATTCAATTATTTTCGTGAAATTACTCTACTGGTTTGTTATAATTATTATTAATAGAAAGATCGAACACAATAAAAATCCTTCAAACGGGCTGGGTTCGAACCAGCCTCTTCCAGCAAACCATGTCAGACGCTATGCCAACTAAGCCACGGAACGAACTGGCGGACCTTACGAATTTTTATAACAAACCTAAGTATTTTATTAAACAGAATTTTAAAGAGGGGCAGGATTTTTTCTTCTGTAGTTGTAATATAAAGTCTTTCTTACTTTTCTCTTACCTTCAGTTGCGCAAAGTATGAGAAAAGTACGTACAACATAACAAATAGACCTCCCTACGTCGCCTAAATTAGACTTATAATTGGACGTACTTGTACAGAAACAATCCAATCTTCTATAACTTAAATTCATACATTTTTTCTATAAAAGAATGCGGCGTTTTCATTATTCTCATAGAAGGACCAATTGAAGAAAGGCGAGGTAGGGTGAAAAGGATCGTAGATCGCAGTGACACCGACAAAAACAATGTTATTAAAAAAAAATCAAAAACACGGATTACATATATATTGTTTAGACCATTTCCAAATTTCACGTTCTATTGTTTCTTAGATTTGCAATACAATCTGGTCGACGATTAGAATATACATACCTGAGCCTTAACACAGCTGATCACAATAACACAAAAACTAAAACTAATCAAATACTTGTACAAATGCATTTTGGTTAAAACTTTCTTCCACAAAATAAATACTTCCACTAACTACTTCCGACCACCGAATGACAATGTGCAAATAATCTACAATAAATCGTTTTATATAGCAAATGATTGTCATGCGTAACATAGTGCGATGACAATAATGATGTAGTAATGTGGAAAACATTCACACACAAATAAAAATAACAAACAATATTGTATAACAAAATATAAAGCGTCAGTTTCGCAATTACTGTACATGTACAGTACGCAACAAAAGTCCTTGAACAACTAGAGTTTCTCCTATTTCGTAAAATAAATCACCACAAATAAATTAAAGCAAGTATAAAGAAATGCTGGCAAAACTTATGAGTGATGTAATTTTCTTACGGTTATATCTGTTGATAATTATGTGAAGCGGTCATTAAGATCTTAATTCAAATATTTAAATGATTTAAAATATTGAATGGTATGCCTCCTCCTGTAAGAGGGGAAAATGTCTTAATCATAGCCGATATTCAGACGAAGTTGTTCATAATGACTTTTCAAGAAAAACTGATACAGGGATGAAGTTTTTAATGTGTGCTTTGGATTATGTTGTTCTTATCTGCTTTGCGTGTTTATTCACTTATTAGTGCTTTAGTAACTCTTTTGTAAACTTTCAAACAACAAATTCTTTGTCTAAAATTCTAAAGGATGAATTGGGATTTTCCAATTTCGTAATTTTAAATTACATGACACATTTTCAAATGACATGTAGAGTCATCGCCAGAAGTTCATATTCGTCAAATAAAAAATTAAAAAACGTGAAATAAAACTAAATAATTTTATTTGACTTGCTTGATTTGATATGTTTTAATTTTTTATTTGACGATCATAGACTTCTGACGATGACTTTACATGTCATTTGAAAATATGTCATGGAATTTCAAATTATGAAATTGGGAAATCCCAATTGAACTTTTAGAATTTTAGACACACAATTTGCTGCTTGAAAATTTCACAAAATTCGTCATTACGTAATAAAATAAAAAATAAATTAAACTAAATTTTAACAAATAAAAAAGGCACACTTTATATATAATTACAAATAAAACTGAATTTGACTTAGAAGTTAGTGATCCAAAAAATAAATACATAAAAATATCGAACCGCGCTCACTTACATAAAATGTAACATACACAGTACATGAATATTGATGAGTAAGCAAGTTGGTTAGTTTCAGTTAATTAACTTTCATCCTTTACGAGTACTTGACGTCAATAGAAACAAAAAACAAGCGTATTAAAACGTAGTGGCTAATAATAATTGACTTGTTGGTCAGTTCTGCCTAATATGTGGGAAAAATCCGTTTTTATGTCGCTTCTATTCTTAGTAATCTTGCGTCCGTCTATTTCAATTTTTGTTTTGTCTCCTTTTTGTTGGTATTTTGTGTGAAGAATAAGTAAATTATAATATAGGAAATGAAACTATTTTTCCGGATTTAAATCGCGTATATTTGTTTTTTGGAAATATATTACTATATTTCTATTTGTAACAATCGCGAAAACCTAAGAACTCGATAAATTATAATATATTTTTTTAATAATATCAACTGACGGAACGAACCAGTTGTGCGCCTGATCGTAAGCTACACGCCTGTCCATAACAATATTTCAAAAAACTACTTGGATTCCTAGACAATTTAAATGTAATGTAGACAGTATAAATAGAGAGAGAGAGATATTAGACAACATCACGTACGTTGCTCTGATCCTAAAGTAAGCAATTAAAGTACTTGTCTTATGGAAATCGGAAACAACAATGGTACCACAAACACCCAACCCCGAGACAATATAGAAAGATAGATACTCGATATTATATATCGAGATACTCGAAGATAGATATGAAAACCGATAAGCAAGCCATTCGACCACGGAGACCACAGAGGACGAAAAATATATATCTTTTTAATATATAATACCAAGTGACAGGACGAACAGGTGTCGCGCCTGTCCATAACAGCTGCAGTGCTACTCAGAGCTTTAAATCGCAAAGATTTGAGAGGCACTGTCAATGCGCCCATCACCCTGAGACTTACGTTGACAAGTCTCATGTGCCTGTAATTTCGCCAGCACCCTCACCCTTTAAAACCGGAACGCAGTAATGCTTACATTACTGCTTGGCGGCAGAAATAGGTAAGGTGGCCGTACTTATCCCTGGACGAATTTCGTTTTATTGCTTTAATTCCCTTTTTTACAGTATTTATGAACATTTTAAATTTTTGTTCGTTTTTCTTAAATTTTGAGTCTATCTTTGTGCAGTAATATAACTACATAACATTACTGTACACCTCTCTTTTCTACGAAAAAAAATTATGTCGATTTTTCTGTCTCATACCATACAAAATATATGCCGCCCAGTGTATTAGATTGCAGCTGCATTAAAATTACAATTAGCAGGAGTCCAGAACTCCTTGTGAACGAGTATGTCCAGGGAAGTACTGCCACCGTATGTACCTATTTCTGCCTCCAAACAATAATGTGAGCCGCGTTTCGGCTTTACAAAGTAAGAACGCTGGTAAAATTACAGGCTCATCGATCTTGTCGTTATACGTCTCCGGGTGACGGGTGCCACGTCGGATCTCTGCGGCTTAAAATTCTAAGGGTCACATTCCAGAACTCTACTCAATGCTCAAATCAGGACTTGAGTATATATAATTGACTTGAGTATGTATAATAGAGTTTGAGGGTCGTATTCTAGAACTCTACTCAATGCTCAAGTCAGGATTACACTGGAAACACAAGCACTGGAAATACGACCCTAATGGCAGGGCCTTGAGTATGGTTTCGAATGCTTTAAACCATACTCAAATCCTGACTTGAGCATTGAGTAGAGTCCAAGAATACGACCCCTAGAATACGACCCGAAGTACACAAGTCGACTACTACCAGGTACATGACTATTCGTCCCATCACTTGCAATCTTGTAGCACGTTTGTATGGTTATGCTAAAACGGTATGCAACGTAGTTGCGAGCCCTAAGTCTCCCAATGGGATCGGTATATTTTTTTATATTATTTGCTGTCGTGAGTTTGGGTGTAATTTATTTATTTAATTTCTTGTCCGAGAACTGACAGACAAACAGTAATTTGTGGTTGTCTATGTGTGTGTCCATGGCACCCGCGATACCGGGTTTCCCTAGTGCGGGGCTATGAGTATGTGCGTTGTTATTATTATGGAATAGGAGGAAAGTACGCTATGAACTATGGACTTAGGGCTTCAACTCCGGAGAGTACTATGCAAGTAAGTCGTAACTTTTAGTTTTTTTAATTTTTCCGCTAGCTCCGCTACGAAACCACCACTTTTCTGATGTTTTAGAGGTGCAACGTGTCACACCATCAACTCACGTAGAGGCCTAGTAGCCGAAACTCTATGGAAAAGGATAATGAACCTTTCCATCGGAACGCCGGCTGAACGTTTGCGCACATACGTTTATAGTGGTAAAAATCCGATAGATGACTTCAATTAGTTACAAGGAAATTACTTAAGTTTTCGAGATTTCGGATTTCTGTCTGTAGTTCACTTGTGTCGAAATTCCTTGTAAAAATGTAGTTAGCGTTAGATGAAGTCACTATCTGCTGAAAAAGATTGAAAGACTAGGAGACATAAATTGGATGGAAAGGATTAAAATCCTAAGAATTTGCTACTAATTCCATTCAATCAAAGAGGAAATTGTATCTCCTACGGTTCGCTTTTTCTTCGTGAAGAACTTTTTTTTTGTTTACGTGAGGAAATGCTTTATGCGTACCCTCGAGCCTGGAGAGGCTCCAAGAGTTATATGGAACTAAACCTCCAGTTTGAGGGCATAGCCACTAAAACAACCCCGGCTTACTCTCTTGGCCAGGTGACCATTGTCCGTGGACCTCACTAGGGAATAAGGCGAACAGCGAACTGCATTCGCCTTCTTTTTTCATAATATCCAGTGACGGGACGAACAAGTCGTGAACCTGATCGTAAGCTCCACGCCTGTCCATAACAGATGCAGTGCCACTCACAAGTCCCATGTGCCTGTAAGTTCACTAGCACCCTTACCCCAACATGCTCGATTTTGTTTCAATAATAATAACCAACTATTAAAGTATATTCGCAAAAAGTGTAAACAAAAATCATAGCAGAAAATCATCATGATATTCAATAAATAAATATTGCAACCTAAAATATCTTTTTCTGATCAGATAAATCAAGGATACTACAGAACACACGTCCGATCTAACTTCTACACCACCTTAAGTACCACATGACGCATTTCAGAAAACAGGCTCAAAGAAATGATGTTAAAGATAAATTTAAAGAAGTGAACGAAATCAGTCGATAACTTTTTATGTTTAAGAGGCGAGATAAAATTTTTAGCGCTTTTAACGTACTTGGTACTTGGTGTAACAGGCTGGTGTCCGCAACTCGATTTCAAGGCGCCTATTTTGCGTGTGGTGGGTGCAGGGTCCTACTCGTGCCACCCAAGCTCCTCCAGGAATCTCAGCAGCCTACTCGGTTTGCTGAAGACTTCGGGGAGCGACCTTGGCACTCCAAGAAAGTACTTTGCCCTGTGGTTGGCCTCGCCGGAGCACTGTAGTAGGATGTGCGCAGCAGTTTCCTCCCCCTCCATGCACGCTCTGCATAGAGGGCTGTCTGTGTTTTATAGTTTAGTTTAATAAATATTCGAGATAGACTGGCATTGAGCGTTGGGAGTGCTTCCCTCGCCTGTCTACAGACCGTAAGGGTAGTCCATGTATTATTATGTGACGATTTTGTACCTTTGTGTATAGTTGTTTTGAACCATTGGTAGGGGAGGCACACTATGGGTTCTGGTCCTACAGCGTCCGTCTCCGACCCTTTTCTGGCTAGTTCATCTTCTGCATCCTTGCCACGTGAGCCACGTGTGCGCTTTTAACGTATAATTACATGAAGCTATATACATCAAGGGTACAATTTCTTTTCCCCCACGATACGGTCTCACAACTCCGTAATGGCTTGGAACCAAAACTGGCGAAAAACGCAACTCATGGTAATTACTGATATTTGATCATAGTAAGTACAAAGTGCGTTCACAGATGACTCAAATTAACAAGTTCGACCAACATACAATTCTGTGTCCAAATTGACAAATTCACTGTTTTTAAGACTAATAATAGTCGCTGGACGCTTTATTAAAGTCATTAATTTCGACTGTTGTTGATATAAAATCGTGGTTGAAGGCTTTTTGGCACAGTACACTGCACGCATCGACATTGAGGTAAATTGTAATATTACAATTGACAGTGAAGATCTTCAAAAATGTACCGTGCAACTGTTTTCGTTTGTTTCTTATTTATTGCTTTGACATCTTACATAGCACAGGTGAGTAACAAATTGCATGTTGCTATTGTATTTAGAATATAAAAAAATGCGGCTATACCTATTGCAATTTTAAACTTACCCAGTATACCGATGCTAACAACTTCTCCTTCTACCTATCTGGTCTCAAACTGGAGAATGTCATGTACTAAGAGTATCAGAATACCCAGGACATCCAGAGTAGAACCAATTTAGAGAAGTTTATTTCCCAAATTAACTGGTCTTACCGGGAATTTGGGATTTCTGTATCCAGCACCCACAATGCAAACCGTTTTGTCACTAAGGATGTCAAATAGTACTGGGATATACATTTTTAGTAGAAGTAGATCTCCTTGTGAAAAAATTGGAGTAATCCGTTCGTAGATGGTGCAATTTAAGTAAATGCAAAGAAGACTTCGCTCGTTGCGCTTGGATGAGAATAATCAAATATTACATAAGAAGAAGCAGGTCCACAAGCGATCGATTTATTGTATTTTATTCCCCAGGCTATGACTGACGATCAAAAAGCCAAAATCCATGAGCACTTTATGACTATAGGCGCGGAATGTATGAAAGACAATCCTATTACTGAAGACGACATGAAGAATTTGCAGAGCAAACAGGTACCGACTGGAGAGAACGTACCTTGCTTTCTTGCTTGTGTCATGAAAAACGTGGGCGTGGTAAGATCAAAGTTACTATTTAAAATAATTTTGGAAACTAATAAAAATGCGACTAAATGTGTATACAAAGTTTTGAATTAAAATATTTAGCTGATCGTTATTAGTTTAAAGGAACCATAGAGTTGAAACAATACAATCGTATGCAAGGGCCCGAATATCTTGTTGTGGTCTTTGTAACAGCATTTAGACTTCAAAAAAGGAGGAAGTTCTCAATTTGACTGTATGTTTTTTTTTTGTATGTATGTTACACGATAACTCCGGTATTTGTGAACCAATTTTCATGATTCTTTTTGTTGGAAAGAGGGTACCTCCATAGTGGTCCCATTTAATTTTAAAGAAAATCATCCACCTCTAAGGGTGGGATTTTTATTATCTCCTGTGTAGTCTCGTATAGTGGCAAACTAAGGAATGAATCCGGGTTTGCGTAATTTCCGGTAACCAATTTCAATAAAACTTGGTAATTATATGTAATTCCACGTACTTTTGGGGGCCGGTTTTTTAAGTACTCTGTACTGAGATTATATTTAAACAGATGGATGACCAAGGTATGCTGCAAAAGGAAACCGCTCTGGAGCTAGCCAAGAAAGTGTTCGATGATCCGGAGGAGCTCAAAAACATTGAAGACTACCTTCATTCTTGCGCTCCAAGTAAGAATTTATGCACTCTCTTGTAAGAACAGTAAATAAGATGATGAAATTATGTTGTGCATCAACCAGCTCTCGCTTATTGTTCAATTTAATACAATCTGTTTAGTTATACATAGCATCTTCTTAGCAACATTTGTACAATTATTAGAGTAAAACAAAATCAAAACAAAAGAGTTTATATAGAGACATAATTGCCTTGTAACATCAAATGAAATATTTAAATTATTACATATTATATTTATGATGTTTTAACTACAACCATGAAATTCTTATATTTTTTTATGAAAATACTCCACTCATTTGGAATATTTGGTTATTATTATTATTATTAATAATAATAATAATAATAATTAAATTCTTTATTCAGGCATTACAAAAACTTTGATTACCCATTACTAAAAATATTAATAAACCTTACAGATAACATAGAATTATAGGATGCAATCAAATAAAATAAAATATGACCGGTGGACAGACAGTATTTAAAAATAGAGCTGTCGAAAGACGTGGCACATACTACTCTCAGGATTGCATTGTCAGATGTAACAACTCTTTTCCAAAATGAAGCCACTCTCGCTCGTAACATAGCGTAAAAGTCCGGAATGCGAGCTTTCACAAACATGTTCGACGCACTGAAAATCTAGGCAGTTTCACCAGGATACGGAATGCGTCATTGTATTGAACCCTTAGATTGATGTAAGATTTCCTAGTAAAGCTGGTCCACAGCTGACACGTATACATACATTGGCAATAAGCCCTAAACAAGGTCACATTGACTTGCTTATTGTATTTTGCAAATCTGCGCGCCACATAAAGCACGCCGTTCTCGTTCAATAACTAAATCATCGTGAAGGTCATCTGTAAGGACATGGCAAGTATTTAAACTGTTGCACTCTCCTTATTAGTGAATCTTCTCCGGACCACTCCCAGCCCTGAATACCATCATCTGTCTTTGTGGCATTGTATTTCAACCCATGAGTCCTAGCATTGTGCTCACAGATTGAAAGCATCTTTCTCAGGCCTGCAATCGAGGGACTGAGAAGCACCATGTCGTCAGCGTAGCTGAGGGTGTTCACACACACCCCACTTACGTGACATCCGACATTGGCTTTCCTCAGCTCCCCGATCAACCCATTGATGTAAAGGCTGAAGAGGTCCGGAAAAGTTAACCCTCTCTGACGAACGCCGCAGTGTAGCCTATACCCGCTAGACGTCGTGTCGCCCTAACGCACATGATTCGTCTGGCTCCCGTACCAATATCTCAACAGACCCACAACTTCAATCGGTACTTGTGAGCTCAGCAGTTTTCCCCAGAGAATTTTATAATTCACAAGATCAAACGCTTTGCTTAAATCCAAAACACATAGATGGATGTATCTCGAGCAGTGTAGTACTTCACTGTATGCTTTAAGTTGAGAATCGCAGAGTCCGTAGAGAGACCGGGATGGAAACCAAATTGAAAATCATCTATCTCAATGTTGTTCACCATCTCGGGGTGCAGTTTTTCCAATTTTTTTCCAATGACCGTGCCCAATGAAATTGGTCTATAGTTGCTCGCAGTTCTATGACTGCCCGCCCTGTTCTTGATGATAGGCATAACCACAGTCACCGTAAGTGCATCAGGCAAGTAAGTGTACCTGATACATAAGTTAAACATGGGCAAGTCCATCACCAATCAAAGGACCAGCATAGAGAATATATTCAATGCTTAAACCATCATGTCCGGGGCTTTTGCCGCGCTTCATATCTAAGATAGCTTTCATTACTTGTTCCGTAGTAAACTGAATCAATGAAGATCCGGCATAGACATAGTGGCTCTAAATCGAATACATCCACCGCAGGTTCAGGGGCAAATCTGAATTTGCGAGCGAACATTTCAGCTATGGACCTGGCATCTTGTACGCCGTCCACAGAAATAGGCAGGCATTTTATATTTAACTTTTTGGTGGCCTTCCAAAATTCTGAAAAATTATTGCTTTTCGCAGTGGCAAGTATATCCATCTTGATAACTTCTCCATTTTTTTAAGCATCATTTAAGCTTATTTTTAAAAACACTGTGACTTGAGCGCATGTCCTTAAAGACGACCCCCGATGCCTGCCATGGAGGCTTACGTGATAGTTCCAGCCAACTACCTTCTTACATTTTTCTTTTGTTTGTTTTGTCCACTGGAACGCGAAATTAAAGGTCACACAAAGGGCGCACATTAAAGGTCATTATTAAAATAACAATAAATATCACAATTTTTATTAAATTTTTTTAACACACTCTTTAATCCCGACATACATGGTCCATAGTAATCAAATATTTGTGCATCGTATTATTATATCATGTATTATAGGTACTAAGCTGAGTTGGTAAGAACGGTGGCCCCGGTATGGCAATAGACGCTGGTTCGAGTCCAATTAGAACGAAAGAATTTTTCTTTGTGTTGTTCGATTTTTGTATCAATACCTAGTAAATACACATTTGAGTCATTTTCTCATGTCGATGACTGTTATTTCAGTTAACAAAGAATCCGTGAGTGACGGCGCGAAGGGTTGCGAACGCGCTGTTTTGGGGTTGAAGTGCATGATGGCAAACGCTGCAAAGGTAAAATGAACAACATTTTTTTAAGATACCAAATGATGGGACGAACAAGTCATGCGCCTGGTGGTAAGCAAAACGCCTGTCCAAAGCAGTTGCAGTGCCACTCAGAGCTTTAAATCGCATTGACCTGACGGGCACTGCCACCGCGCCCGTTACCCTAAGACATAAGTTGTCAAGTCCCATGTGCCTGTAATTTCACCAGTACCCTTACCCTTCAAAACCGGAACACAGTAGGTAATGCTCACATTACTATTTGTGCAGCACAAATAGGTAAGGTTAGCACTTCCCTGGAACTCTATCACAATTCTTTCACAAGGAGCTCTACTACTAATGAAAATTAATTACACTGTTGATATTTGCATTGAATAGAATTATAAAAACATGTTACTGCAATTTATTAACAGAAATGATACGCTAGCCTAGGCTGATCAAAGTAAATAAATAAAAAAGGTTGGATGCCCGTTGCCTGAAGAAATTCAATAGCAGGATAATTTAGTAGCAGTAGAGCTTCTTGTGAAAGAGTTCGTCCAGGGAAGTACCTTATCTATTTCTGCCGCCAAGCAGTAATGTGAGCATTACTGCGTTCCGGTTTAGAAGAGGTTAGTATTTCACAAATAACCCAGTATAAATCCTGACATGATATTTCATTTGTTTATAAATTAATTGCAAGGAAAAAACGTAAAACAAGTGTTATTGGTCTAATATAATTTTTTTGTAATACCATGTGACGGGACGAACGAGTCGTCCGCCTGGCGTTTAAGCAACGCGCCTGTTCATAACAGTTGCAGTGCTACTTACGAGCTTCAAATCGCAAAGATCTGAGGGGCACTGACACTGCGCTCGTCACTCTGAGACATAAGTTGACAAGCCTCATTTGCCTATAATTTCACCAGCACCCTTACCCTTCAAAACCGGAAAACAGTAATGCTGACATTACTGCTTGGTGGCAGAAATAGGTAATGTAGCAGTACTTCTCTGGACGAACTCTTTCACAAGGAGCTGTAGGTACTGCTTCTTAAACTTTTGCACGGAAGTAAAATATGATGAATTATTAAAAATCATGGAACAAAATTCGTTGTTTATGATGTCAGTATTATAGGGCTGCGAGGTTGTTAGCATTTTACAAATTACCCTGATGTGAATAAATACACCAAACCAACCCCTGAGTCAGAAAGCTTCTAATATTACACTTTGAGATGGAATATTTTCCATGAGACTTTAGTAACTTATGTTTTTCTTAATTTTTCAGTTCGGTTTCGACCTCTGAACGAACATCCTGTGATTGACGGCTCATCACGATACTGGAATTTTGAGGACATCTGGGCGTAAACGCGTGTTATTTTTCTTGTAATTTGTAGCTATATCTATAAAAATTAAAATAAATATTATACTTAATCTTCGTAATAGCCTTTTTTCTTGACTTATGCATGACAATCTATATACAGGGTGAAAATTGGAAAAATTTTGACCTTAATTATTATAGGGTAAACTCGCCTAACTACGTGGTATAACTAATTCGGTGACAAAATGTTTGGAAGCTAATCTAGATTTAAATGACATGATCTTACATTTTTAAAAGGATCGTTAAAGTGGAAAGATGAGATTTCTTTTCCTTTGTAAAAGTCTGTTTCAAATTGAGCGAACGGGTTGGTAACAATTGACGAATTTGTCACGTGACGTGCAGTTTTGCTTGTTGCGCGGATATGCAGTTTTGGAACTCACGTTATTTATATATTTTAAATGGAAAAAGTTAATATATTGAGTTAGAACTGTGTCAATTTAGTGGTAAAACAATAGGTTACATGGCTTAGGTAAGAAAATCTTGATGGTTTTTCATAGTTTTTGAACTAATCCTTATTTTGTCCACTCAAAAAGTTAATCATTTTTCGGGTTCGATTCCCGTTAGACCAGTGTGGAAATAAACTTTTTTTAAATGTACTCTGTTGTAAGACAACAACATCTTTAATTTATTTTAAATTGTTAAAGCAGAAACTTATAGAGGCTCTTGTGCACTCAGCTAACTCCTGCCGCTCTCGGTGGTGTACTAATTTACTTGCGGTGGGAGTGCACTAGCGCTACTCGTAATCATGATGTCTTCGTTTTGCTTTAATACAAAATATATTGAAAAACCCTTTTTGCCTACCATAACCTTTATGCCCGCCCTTCCCCTAACTATGCAAGTTAAAAGGCAATTTTCACAACAGGCAATTTTGACAAGGTCAAAAGTCAGTGTGGGACAAGAAATGCTAGAAAAGTAAAAGATAGCTAGTTTTCTAGGGTTGTTTTCCTGTAGCTATGAATGTTAAGGTAGCAGCCCTAAACTACTCATCTCAAATTTCCACCCTTTATATGTTCTAAGTGCTGTTGATGGAATGACGACCTCGGCGGCGAAAAAGTTTGCACTGTGGGCGCTGGATGAGAAGTTCCTGGTAGGACCAAATTCAGAAATGAATTTTTCTAAATTGTTTCTGATTTATATCTAAATTCTGGGAGTGGATTCCCTAGTTTGAGACCAGGTAATTGGTGTGGTTGTCCAGCACATTAAAACATTAAAGAAAGTAAAAGGCAATAATATTAGTGAAATAAGCAGCTCTATTACTTATTTAAGGCTTGAACAGTCGCGAATGACTTTGACGATTTGACATCTAAGCAGTAGTAACAATTTCATATGCCATCTATCAACCATTCGCTTGTACTTACACAAAGTCAAATAAAGATAAGTTGTAAATTAGAATATAGAAGAGTCATGTGTTTTTTGCAATCTATACCCACGTTGTTGTTCCCTTAGAGACATTCGAGAATAAACCGTCGTAAAAATAAACATTACATAATATTTTATGGTCAAAGTCGTAATAGCATAAATAGTGAAAATATTAGGTAAATCGTGCAATGATTCGATCGTAACATCCTATCAATTAACAACTAATACTACTATTTTCAACTATAAAGGAGAAGTTGAAAAGAGTGTTCAAGTATAAAGGAGAAGTTGAAAAGTGTAGTAAAGTTAAAACAAATACTTTTATTCGCTATATTTTAAATGCATTGAACAAAAGTCAGTATTTACATGGTATTTACTAATTAATTATGCTTCATTGAAAGTACAACTTTTGTGTATTATTTATTCAGTTTGTCTTCTGCAATACGTAAATAAAAACTTCGATTAATAATAATAAAAAAAAGTAATTACGACCAATACGACTAATTTGTTTTTAACTGGTGGAAATTCCAACAATAAGAAGTACACAGTACAGTATAACGATAGGTACTTTGTGCGAGGTTGAATAAATATACATTAAAATAGGTACTTTATTAACTATATTGTTAAGATTAAAGAGCGTCAAAATCTAAATAGCGAGAACAAGTAGTTTAATTGAAGTTGGAGTACTATTTTCGGATTCGTTGTCACGAGAGTAAATATTTGCGATATTTTCTGGATCAGTGGTGGTTTTATTTTCTTTGTTTTCTATTTTCTTTAAAACAAAACTGCAGCAAGCGGTAGTGGGCGGAAAATGCAATGCAGTATAGTTTCATTTCTACAAAATAAAGTGGGTATGTCTTTGTGTCCCCCGGTGCAGCGCGGCGCAGCCTGGCGTCACCAGCTTGTGCTACCACGGGCACTGCAAAGTGTGACTAGGCTTCTCAACAATAAGGCATATTTCTTAGAAAGGCAAACATTAGCTGAGCATCATCGGACTGCTTAGGGCGAAATTTGGAAATAGCAATACAATATAGAACTTCAAATGTGTTAAATAAAGTGAACATTTCTTCTCATGGGAATATACTGTGTCTAGGTCGTGTTTTAAGCGATTTGTAAATTTTACATAAAGCACGCATGAGAAGGTTCCGGGTTAAATTTCCGGCAGCACCAATTAGGGAAATGAACTTTTCTAAAATGGTTTTCGCCTAGGTGTTCTGGAAATTGTCGCTGAGTGAGTAGCTCTTGGTCCTGGGTTTGATTTCCGGTAGAACCAGTTTCGGAAATGAAATTTTCTTAAATGGTTTTGGGCTAGGTGTTCTGGGTAGCGACGCGGAGTGTATTCCGTAACTCTTGGTCCCGGGTTCGATTCCCGGTAGAACCAATTTGGGAAATGAATTTTCCTAAAATGGTTTCGGCCATAGATATAGTATCTATGGTTTTGGCGTAGGTGTTCTGGGTAGTGCCGCGGAGTGTATCGCATAACTCTTGGTCGCGGGTTCGATTCCCGATAGAACCAATTTGGGAAATTAGCTTTTCTGAAATGGTTTTGGCCTAGGTGTTCTGGGTAGTGCTGCGGAGTTTATTCCGTAACTCTTAATCGCGGGATCAATTCCCGGAAGAACTAATTTGGGAAATGAACTTTTCTAAAATGGTTGTGGCCTAGGTGTTCTGGGTAGTACCGCAGAGTGAATTCCGTATTAATCCCGGGTTCGATTCCCGATAGAACCAATTTGGGAAATGAACTTTTCTAAAATGGTTGTGGCCTAGGTGATCTGGGTTGTGCCGCGGAGTGAATTCCTTACATCTTGGTGCCCGTCGATCGATTCCTGGTAGAACCAGTTTCGGAAACGAAATTTTCCTAAAATGGTTTTTTGCTACTAGGTGTTCTGGGTAATAAATACCGCGTAGTGTATTCCGTAGCTCTTGGTCTCGGGTTCATTTCCCGGTAGAAACAATTTGAGAAATATACTATTGTCAGTTCTGTTGCCAACCACCTGGTCTCAAACTAGGGAACTCCTGAACTCCTTATGAGTGTCAGAGAAACTGAATCCAAACACAGGCATTACCAGAAATTTCAGGAAGTTCATTTAAAAAATTTGTTCTACCGGGAATCAAACCCCAGACAAAGGGCAACGGAATTCACTTCGCGGCATTACCCAGAACACCTACGCCTTCTCTTCCAGAACACCTAAACCTCCTCATCCAGTCCCATATTATGTGCAAGTATATTGTACAAATTCCACACTTCACCTTAGATTTATTTTTTATTTCGGCATATCTATGTTGTCTAGTCTTTGGTAGATATTAAAAAAGATGCAATGGAAATATAACGAAATAACTAATTTATAAAATCTAAAATATAAAACCAAAGTCAAATTAAAGTTAACACAAACACTAGTGAAATTAATTAAAAACAGCAACTTTTCACACGCGCAGTTCACCCGTCGCAAAGCCTGAAAGGCGACTGAGCGTAGTACTGCGCAGACGTCGCGAGTGGGAAGGAATTATTTTTTTCAAAAAGTAACACTAAACTTATGAACTATTTAAGTTAAAAAAAGTAATATGTAATTAAATGATTATGAAATTAAATTATCTATTTTTTCGTGTAAATTTTATAAATAACGGATGTTTGCATTTAAAGATAAAGTGCTTTTTATTCAATTTGAAGGACATAGCTCTAAATTTTATTTCGTAAAAAGAGCTTAATAAATTTTAGTTTTGCTCAATACGTTCAATTATTTAAGGACTACTAGCAATCATTTTTTTTTGTGATTATTGGACTATTATTATTACCAGGAATTTAATTTCAAAAGAGCCTAATTCGTCAATCTGGGCACTGTAATTGTAACATCAGAAATTCTAGTAACACTTTTTCAAAAACCAAAATTTACTAAAAAATAGTACTTAGTGAAGGTATATATATATATAATATATACCTTTACTAAGTACAAACACAAAAAACTTGTCTCTCTGTGTACAATAGACTGTAGCTTTTTTCATTATTATGCCGTTTGTTTCTTTCCATTGTCACTTTAATTTGGGAAATCGATTAGGTTTGTAATCGAAGGATACAGGATATTGGCATTTTATACAACGCCATTGTTTACTATAAAACCCAAAGCGACTTCGTCTAACCATCATTATAACTAGACCCTCAATAGTGAAGTGAAAGAATAAATACTTTTAAAAATGTACGCCTTAGCAGTATTGTTCTTCGCTCTTCTTGGAATCCTTGTCAATTCCACTATTGTAAGTACGAGCACTATTTCTAAGTTTATAATATTTAAAGCTATATAACAAGTACTTTATTGATACAAAGATCGAATATACACAAGGAAAAATTCCCTCCACCAGACTGGAATCGAACCAGCGTCTCCGTCCTCAACGTGGCTTTGTATGAATCGATATTTGTATCAATAATAGATGAATATCATAGTAGTAAAAACATCACTTAATGCAATAAAAATAAAAATATTTTTTCAAACATGCCTGGAAATGTTTGCATTACTTTCAAATAACGAACACGGAAAGTTTATCATTTATGGACCGTGCGACTTCTTCCCGGCCAA